CCCAGTCCAGATTCCCAAGCCCCCAACCCTAAACCCCTAAACCCTAACTTTACACTTAATTGAGGATCTCCCTCTGAAGGAGCCCCCTTACAAGTGAACAAGTCTGCAAGAGACTGCAGAGTTTCTGCACAGGTAGTGCCTGAACATCGAAACCGCGCACCCAAAACTTCGAATCCAAAGCCAGAAGCCAGAACAAGTGAGGTCCTCCGAAGTTCTGGTTGGTTCCTCATGCTGTACACCCTAAATCCTCAACCCTAGGACCTAGAGTAGGCCCTTATTCCCTTTTTCTAGGGTTCAGGTTCCCTTATAAGCCCCTTTAAACCAAAAAGGGCAACCTTTTTATTCCTAGGTTACTCTTGGGTCTAGAACCCGACAAGACCCAGAAGTACCCCTTTCAAGGGGTCCTTGACGTGCCCTGCAGCAGGACGGAGTTACTCCTCTTCACTTTGTAGCTCTCCGAGGCCGACATGAAGTGGGGCGTGTGGTTTTGCTAAGGGTTTCTGGGTTTCCCAGAGAGCCTGATATCCCTTGCATCAGCTGTATGCTGCTTGTAAGGAAGTCCCCTCTACGGCGAAGGGCATGGTCTTCATTGGCCCAACATTCCTCAACAAGAAAGAAAGACTGTTGGAGCATTGGGTTCTCTGGGTCAGGACAGGGAGTTTGGGGTCCAGGCTTGGGGGTTTTGAGGTGCAGTTCAGAAATGGAAGATGCCACAAGCAAGCCCAGGTGCAAAACAGAGATGCCATCAGAAACTCAATGTTTCAAAACCCGTTAGTAACATAGATCCCTAGCTCTAGCCATGCGAGATGGAAGCAACCCTAAACCTGCGACCCTAAAGTAACACGTCGAGATCACTGCCACCTAGTTGTCGTCAGTCAATGTGCTTGTGAACCGAGAGACCTCGAGAGACCTCGTCTGGCAGAGTCCGACTGGAGAGAGCTTACAGTGACATGTGGGAGTTTCCGAAAATTGGGGGTACCTTGTTTTGGGGGCCCTTATAATAAGGATCCTACTATTTAGGGTACTATATGAGGGTCCCCTATTTTGGGAAACTCCCATGTCGAGTAGGGCTGCTACAAAGGGGAGCAACCTGTGCATCAGCCATTTCCAGGCTTCAGGGCTCAGGGCTTTGAAAGTAGGGCTAACCCCTAAACCACCAAAACCCTAAAACCTGAATCCCTTAAACCCACAACTTGGAGTTTAGGATGCAAGGATCCGGCTAGCCTCAAGCCCAGTGGCAAAAAAAAGGTTTAGAGGGCTTCACGCAGAGGCATCAACGGTGGCCTCGAGGCCGACGAAGAGCTGACGAAACTGGTCCAGGTGCCGTTGGGTTTAGGGCTAAGGGGGATTTACGGTTTAGAGTCGATAATTTGGGGTTAAAGGTCCATTTTCGGTTTAGGGTCTATTTAGACCGGGCGAGCTCCAATCAAGCCGGTGTAAAAGGGTACATTTTGGGTTTAGGGTCTTTTTAGGGTCTATCATTTATTTAGGGTTTAGGGTCTGTTTATGGTTTAGGGTCTTGCAGAGTTCTTTCGGAGACTTTTGTTCAAGTGATTTTTGGGCTTATGGTGTTTAGGGTCTACAGTGCACACCGGAAAGTTGCCGGGATTCCCTGTGCTTTACCTTGAAGGCACCTGGATATTGATGTTCCAACTTTCTGGCATCTACCTAGCCTTAGGGTTTAGGGTCTGGCAGAGTTCTTTCGGAGATTTTCTGTTGAAGAGCAGTTGAGTTGTAAGGTCTTGGGGCCTTAGAGCTCACAAGTTAGGACCGAGAGTTCAAGGGGATAGTGGAGTTCCAGGGCCAGCGTGGAGGGAGGCGGGTCTCAGGCTTTAGGGTTTTAGGTTTTGTGGTATCCTAGGAGATGTACAAACATAAGTGGTGCCCAGGGTCATAGCAGGCATCCCTCAACAAAACACCCATAAGGCTGCCCAGGTCTGCACCAACCTAGATGTGCCGTTATGCCTGAACAGGTGTGCTTTAGGTGCATATATCATTTCACACTGCTTATGGGTAAACCAACCAAAAACACAATCCAGTCTTACACTTTCGCTCCTCTATTTTTAAGCAAACTAGCGTGAACCCGATGCCTAGAAACCTTACACTCCCAGGCCCTAACCCTACAGCCATCTTTATGAAACCTCAAGCACAAGACCTTCCTACAGCCGTGCAAAAGCTTCTGCGGCCGTAAGCCCTAAACCCTAATGGCTAAACCCTATAAACCCTATAAAGCCGAGTTCCTCAAACCTAGAGGGTTTACAAAGCTTGTAAACCCTACGCGAACCAGGTGCTACTCCGGGGGGGCGCCTCCCTAGAAGCCAGGACTGCTTGTCTAAACCGGTCACCTGCGGTTTTACGCGTAGAAGTGGCGACATGTGTAGATACATATATGTATATATGATATGCACATGAATGTGTATATACATATACAGATACATACATGAATATATGCACATATGTATGTATACATCTATTACACATACATATACCTCTATACAGATACATAAACATATACATAAGTAGCCATCATTTTTGGCTGTTGGGTATTCAGCCCCTAAGACCTCAGGATGTAGGCCCCGGGAGGCTTCAGAGATTTATGGAGTCCAGCGTGTAGGCCGAAGTGTATATACGGATGAACAGGAGGGCACGGAAATTGGGCTTGGATTCATGATGGATCCCATGCTTGTTTGAGACATCGCGCTCCCAGAGCTGTTCCCCACATTTCGCGCCCTGTACCGTAAAGCCTAAAGCTTGAGGCTTGATAACCCCGAAGCCAACACTCCCAAACCCCAAAACCCTCCTCCAACTTCTCAAAGCACTGTTGGGCTTTCTCACCTCGTCCCTTGTTGTTGGTTGGCTGGCAATTACAGGTCTCGGGGTTTCTCTGGGGATTGGGTCTCGGAATATGGGGTATGGGGGTCAGACTGCACAAGGCTTGGGATTTTGGACATGTTTGGCTGCTTTCTGTGTCCTTTAATCATGCTCAAGTTCTGCTTCGCCACACGGACTTTCGGACTCTGTTGATTTCATTGGGCAGTTGCGGGGCGAAACATGTTGGATGTACAGGGCTCCCCGCTTTCCAGGGCTTCAGCACGCTGAGGTGCTTGTTTTTTGCCGTTGTGTGCCGAGTGGTGCTCTACGTAGACATTATGTTATTGAGCACACTCAAACTTTGACGATTTGCTCCTAGACCCTCCTTCTACTACTTCTACCGTCTATTAGACCCCAAATACCTACTATTAGGACCATATGCCCCTATTTGAGGGTACAAGGAGGGTCCTGGCTTGGTCTGAACTTCAACCCAACAATTCAGATTCTAAGCCTGTGTGACATCCTCTATGCATCGCTTTCAGGCCTTTGAAAAACGCGACAACGCCTTGCAGCAAAAGCACCTTAAACTTTGCGATCCCGCTCCTTACGACGAAGCGGTGAGTTTTCTTTGCCCCCTCAATCTTGTCGGTTCGTGAAGTGGTTCCCGTATTAATCCAAGTTTGATATTGTGACTTCCTCGCTCCTTTGATAACCCCCCCCCCAAAAAAAAAAAAGTAGGTGACATTGACATAAAGGCCCAACCCCTGCAAAAGTTTGTCTACATACTTTTGTGGTTCAAGTCAACACTTTTGGCTCAACATAAGCCTGGGCATCTTGCTTAGCTTACAGACGGACACACCCATTTGCTGCAGACTGCCATGGCTTTTTGTTGCTGACTGATGTGTGGATTTGTTTGATAAAGGTTTTCAGGTTTCCTAAAAGGGTTCTATAGGGCTTTATACAGTTGCTATGGGCTGGAACCTTGGGAGTCGATATGTTGAGGATAGGAGGGATCATTGCAGGCATAGCCGGAGAGCCCAGATCTCCTTCAGGGTGAAGGCAATGTAGGGTTAAACGCTATAGGCTATAAACCCTTGTATATAGGTTTAGAGCTAGTCTAGGAATCGGTTTAGGGTTTAGGGTTGCTGTTTGGCTGCTGCCGACGAGGTCGTTCGTCCGCGTAGTTAAGGGTCGGGGCGTAGCAAAACTCGTACACCCTCCAACTTGGAAGCCCTAAAACTTATTAGGCCGGGAGCATGAACCCTAAATCCCTTATCCCTTGAAGCCCTAATCCTCAGACCCTTACCGCAAACTCTTAACCCTTATCCGTCAAATTTTTCATATCCCGATAATGCCAGGATCCCAGCCGAGCACCCGGATAAATTGTTGCGCGGACAAATCCCGCCCCTTGGCAGCTTATGCATGAGAGTTTGGGGTTTAGGGAGCGGTGAACCAGAGCAAATGCCTAGAGGCACACGGGCCGTACAGTTTAAGTAGGGTGCTTCGTGGGGAAACTCCTCAACCCTAAACCCTAAACCTTAGCCCTGAACCCTAAACCCTAACCCTAAACCCTAAGCCGAAACCCGAACCGGGACATGCGGCCCACGACCCTACGAAGCCCATCCGGTTGTCAATATGGTCCGAGTCTGAATATAGAGATTCGGTAAGGGTTCCATAAGGGTTGAGAGGCTGCTAAAAGTGTCACCGGGCTTTGTCGTAAGTAGGGTTACTATGGTAGGGAAACTATGATTACATCTTCTTTTCGCACTAACAAACGTACTTATATCTCTATTCACTCAGGGTTCAGGGTTTAGGCAGCACCGCCGGGTGCGACATGCAAGCCTGATGCCACAGGGATATGGGGTTTATGGTGTTGGGATTGATGATCACGCCCTTTGCCAGTTGTTAACGGGCTTTGTGCTTCCTGGAAACAGGTTGACATGTCAGGTACATCCCAGTTTCAAGTTAGCACACGTTACTGAAGTTTCGGTTCAACGTACTGTGGGGGACAATCGATCTGGGTTGACTTACAGCTTTTCGACATTGTCGCTTTGGGGCTTTACGGTTTACGCTTGAAGGCTTCCTGCAGACCACCCGCATGATGTTCCCGCTGCGGCATTCGGCTCCAGCGCACTAACACATTAGGGATCGTGAGCTTTCGTGGCGTTCTTTGCCGAGTTCTTTGAGCAATGCGCGAGCTCGTTCACGTCCAAGCAGGACCCACCGCACAGAGTTTCTGAGCTAGCCACCACATGATCTGCCACAGTACCCTTGCACAATAAGTCCCAGCAAGTCCTCAGGAGGGCAGCCAGCTAATATAGGGGCCTTAATAATTAGGGGGTTCCTTATTATAATTTTGGAGGGCACCAAAACCCTATTCTAATCATTAAGGCCCCGATATGCTAAGGAGAGCCAGAGCTTGTATGCAACTGTTGCTACTGGCCCGAGACCCGAAACCCCACTCTCGGCCGCAAATCCGGTACCCTGACATCCGCAGCTTCCTAAGCTGGTTTCGGGTTCAAAACCAGGGTGAGGCAACTCCTAGACCCCCCAACTAACCTCTATTATACCTTAAATACCCATTTTTAAGGGTCATAGGGGCTCGATGAATGGGACTCGAAACCCTAAACCCTTGGGGTGTCCTGGCTGTTCTGAAGTTCCACCTCTTTTCTGTCCCCAATATCGGCGCTTGGCCCAGGAAGTAATATTAGCGGCCTTAATACTTCCTTTAAGGCTTCCTTCAAAGGGTTCGAGAAGGACAATTAGAATAAGGAACCCCAAAACAGTAATTTTTTAGTCCCCTATAGTCGTGGTTGTCAGGTTCGAAGCAGACAGCTTGCCTTTGCACGCATCTGCATATGTGATGTGTCAATGTACGTCTTTGTTATACTGCTGCGTGTGTTTGTCATGAGCAATAACTTGGGGATGTATGCCCTTGCACACTTCTTGGTTGTTTCGAGTCTGTTTACTCCGCAGTGTGTCAATCAGTTCGGGTTCTGCCTTCAACTCTAGAAAGATGGTCGTTTCGCCTAGGCTACTTGGACGATCATGGCACTTAGTAAGTAGGGCTATAGGTACCTTAACTTAGGGTTACAAGTAGATATAACTATGGTTTGCTTATAACCCTACTTACTAAGTCCCATGATCCTCTAAGTAGACCCTAAACCCCAAACCCTATAGATCCCTTTAAGGACCCTACTTACTAAGGTTGCGCCGCCCCCCCCCCTATTTGCCCGCACCCACTTGCAAGCTTGTTTGTTGCCCGGCAGTCTTTGAAGACAGCAGGCCTTTGCAACATTGCCTTTGTAGCAAGTTTCGCCCTTTGCTGCTGGTTAGATGCATATAATATACATATATATACATGTCTATATATGTGTATATATGTGTATATATGTGTATATGTGTATATGCGTATTTGTATGTATATGTATATGTATATGTATATGTATATGTATATGTATATGTATGTGTATGTGTATGTGTATGTGCATGTGTATGTGTATGTGTATGTGTATGTGCATGTGCATGTGCATGTGCATGTGCATGTGCGTGTGCATGTGCATGTGCATGTGTATGTGTATGTGTATGTGTATGTGTATGTGTATGTGCATGTGTATGTATGTGTGTGCATATGTGTATATATATATATGTATATATATATATATATATATATATATATATGTATGGATATATAGATATACATATGCATATACATATATATATATATATATATGTTATGTATTTGTGTATGTATATACACATCTTTACGTATTTGCATATGCATGGGTATGTATAAGGTGCATATATATGTATATATATATGTCTATATATATATGTATATGAATAAAATGTACATATGTATACGTGCACCTTATATATACATATATATATATATATATACTCATATTGTATGGTATATATATACATATTTATATATATATCTATCTATATACATATATATATATATATCTGTAAACATATATCTGTATGTGTTTATATATATATATATATATACATGTATGTATGCATGTGTGTATATATATATATATATATATATATATATATATATATATGTATTTCTGTGTGTATATGTGTACGTATTGTGCGTGTCTGTACTTTATATATATATATATGCACATAAATATATATATGTATGTAGGTAGGTAGGTAGGCATCGTGTTACTGGGAGTGTAGGGTCGTGGGCAAATTAGAGGGGGGTGAGGGTAAGGTTACGAGACTAAGGCGCCACAAACCCCAAACTCCCTGAACCCTCACCTCCAAACCCTAAGTCTAATCCCTACACCCTAAACCCCTAAACCCCAAACCCCTAAAACCCCTAAACCCCTAAACCCTACACCCCTAAACCCCTAAACCTTAGGACTCGAAACCCTAAGGTGTTGGTTAATTACTCGTTGGAGATGTCCCAAACCCCCCAAACATCCGCTTGCTACTGTTGATTCCTTATAAGATTCCCTCTGAAAGCCCCGGCCGGTGGTCACACCAAACCCGCAATCCGTCCACCCTAATTGCATGAGTCCTGAATTCCTCGACCCCTAAATTCAAGACCCGTTTAGAGTTTAGCGGTTTATGGTACGCCTGCCGGCTCCTCGCACACGAGACATTGGGCCCCGGGCCGAGTACATTCTCTGGGCATTTGGGTAGCCTACGTGGACGCATCGTCCTAACCTTACTGGTCCACTTGGCGTCAGAAACTTGGACCCAAACAGTTACTGGGGAGGTGCGTGCAGCACGCCGACGAGGAGGTAAGCGATGACTCAGAACAGCACCAGATCATGCCCATACTGTGACAAGCCGAATGCCTCCATCTCTGGGCCGAGTGCCCTGCCTTCGAGCCGACACGTCTGAGACTCAAGCAACAGTTTGCCATACCGGCGGGCTGGTTTGCAGCACAACCACGCGTCACGGCCAAGAGTGGCTGGATGACCTTTGCAGCTTCGCCTTGTAAGGCCAGGACAGCCAAACTGCAGGTCGCGGCTTGCGAGCTTGGCATCGAAGTGCTGCAGAAGTCGAGTGCTTTCCACCCTGTCCGGGGTTCAGGATTCGATCTTGGCGCCCTCGTTCGGGAGGCTTAAACCTGATGTCTTTTTTCTACCTGTCGCGAACCACCTACGCGCCTAGGTTGCTGGGAGCTAAACTACTACCTACTAGCTGAAGGGCTAACCGCCTACGGGAACAGGTTGCTGGCAGACAAACATCAACTAGTTCAGGACAATGCGGCAACCAGATCGGTGCCAAGTTCTGGGAAGTCATCGCCGATGAGCATGGCATTGACCCAACAGGCAGATCCGGTGGTTGCTTAGTCTGTTCTGGTTCGGGTCTAGATGGTTTTGGCCTAGGGGCTGCTTAGGACTGAGGATGGTGTTTGCCCGTTCAGTGTGGGTTTTGCATCCTCCAAACAGTAGACCCATGAACCCCTAGACCCGCAAAGCCCCCTAAGGCCCTACACCGGCCCTACACTACCCTACAACCCTTAATGCCTTATAGACCCCATATGAGACTTTCCCAAAATAGCGGATCCTAATATCTAGTGCCTAAATGGTAGGATCCTTATTATATGGACCCCTCAATAAGGTACCCCCGATTATAATTTTCGAAAACTCCCAAATCTCAAAGCTAATACGGTACCCTAAACATAGCAGGATCCTTATGATATGGACCCTTAAAATAAGGTACCCCCGATTATAATTTTCGGAAACTCCCAAATCTCAAAGCGACCCAGGGTCCCCAATGTAGTTCCTTTTTGGAGTTACCCTATAGGATTCTCCGGGTTTAGGGTTTAGGGTTTAGAGGATTCTATATATGAACCCCAAAAAGGAACTACTTTGGGGCCCTTGGGCAGGTACCTATCATGGCGACTCAGACCTCCAGCTGGAAAGGACTCCCCCCGGGCTTTTCAGCGATGGGGAGTTTAAGGTTTAGGGGTTACGAGTGTTGAGGAGTGTTCGCTGGCACACAATCCAAGCCCATGCTGAAAAGGGGTTACGAGTACTCCAAGTCCGTGCTTAAAAAGGGGTTACGAGTTTAGGGGCTTGGGGTTTAGGAGTTTATAGGGTTTGGGGGTTTAGGGGTTGCGAGTTGCTTGGCCTGAGCGCACGAGTCGCTTACTCACTAAGTGATTGTGCTCAAGTATTCGTCCTGGCGGAGTCGCAGCAGGCCAGTTGCAAAAAGGGGTTGCGAGTTTGGGGGCTTGGGGTTTAGGAGTTCAGAGTTTGGGGATTTAGTTTAAAGGGGGTTTAGGATGTAGCAGGATGGCAGTTTTTGCGAGCTCAGTGCTGCAAGGATTAACGTCTACTTCAACGAGGCCGCCTGCACGCTTGCGATCGCAATTGCCAAATGGGGGTTTCCGAAAATAGGAGACCCTGATATAGTACCCTAAATAGTAGGATCCTTATTATAAGGACCCTAAATAAGGTACCCCTATTTTCTGAAACTCCCAAACTTGGCCGGCTCGTTGCCGAAGACGTTTAGTGTAGTGTACCTTTACACCCTAACCCGCACTTCTTCCCTGCAATACCCGAGCTTTGGCTCCAGCCGCTCTTGCCGCTCGCCCTCTACGGAGCTAGGTTGCGTGCATTTCACCCACACACGTGGACTTCAATCCCTCACTAGCCTAAACCCTGAACCCTGCGGGCTCGTCCTTGCTAGGTAGGAGCGGAAAAAACCTTTAACGGAACCTTAAACCCTAAACCAGGAACCCTAAACCCCTTGACACTCACTTACACGCGTGTACTTAATGAGGCCACCGGAGGTCGCTACGTGCCCCGTGCAGTCTTGATGGACCTTGAGCCAGGCCGGCAGTAGAAATTGGAAGTCCGAGGGGCTGGCAGATTTAGGGTTGAGGGCTTGGGGGTTTAGGGTTTATAGGGTTTAGGAAGGAGTACCCTTATCATATTTGTACAATATACCCCGAGACCTTATTCTAAATTGTAAGGCCCCCCTTTTAGGCCATTCGAGTTCAGGAGTTAGCCCGAGATGAAAGCTTCAGTTAGGTCCCTAAACCCTAAACCCTAAACCCTAAACCCTAACCAAGCAGGCGATTAGGTCATGAGCTCCAGCGGCAAGTGTCTTTTGGTCAGTCAACTATCTGGCCAAATAGTTACGAGTAAGAAACATTTCCACGGATAGATGAAGAAATGATGATGCCATCGGCACTTTTCCTAAGGATTGGCGACACCGTCTGTAGTAGGAGATTCGATAGCTTGCTGTGCTGCTGACAGGCACGATGGACAGCGTCCGTGCCGGACCTTTTGGCCAGTTGTTCCGTCCGGACAACTTCGTGTTCGGTCAGACCGGCGCAGGGAATAACTGGGCTAAAGACTCTTGGCGTGATCACATTCCTGGCTTCATGAGGTTCAGGCGTTAGCAACCTGGACGCCAACTACCCGCTTAATGTGGCCTAAATGCCCACTAATTAAGGACCATAAGGGCTCCATTACTTGGGGGTTGCTGGAAAGATGTGCCTGAAAGCCCTCCATGGGTCCTGCTGGGCCGAGGGACACTACACCGAAGGTGCCGAGTTGATCGACAGCGTGTTGGATGTGGTAAGGAAAGAAGCAGAAGGCCACGATCTTAGTCGTCTGCGAGTGCATGCATAGCTAGATTTAGGTAGTTAATTAGATGGACCGGCATGCGTGTATACATACATACATACACACACGTTTTGCAGTTAGTTAGTCTATCCAAATGCATATATGTTTATACAATCATACATACATATTTACATATATATATATATATATATACACATGTGTATGTATCAGCACACGCACACACACACACACAGACAGATAGGTGCCTTACAGGACCTGTCTTTCCATGGCCCAGCATTTGAAATCACAGGTGTCTTCAGAACTGGTTCGGGGTACAGGGCTGAGGCTAGTTTATGGTTTCAGGCCCAGGGTTCGGCATGCATAGTCTCCAAAGCTTACTACATCTTCATGATTCTGAACTTTTCCGAGCTAAGCGCCACCGTCTCTGCCAACCTCTTCTTGGAGCTCTAAAAGACGCTTTTTTTGCTTGCCAGCTTGCCGTTTTTTGAAACACGAATAGCATTACCTGCCCTGCTTAGCTCGCACCCTGCAACGTGTGGGTGGTTGTCAAAATGATGGTTCCTTTTTTGGGTACCTTAACCCTTGGTGCCGTCTTTTTTTTGGAACCCAAAAAGGGACCCTAGTTTTGACAACCACCTATATGTAGTTTAGACAGCCCTGAGCTGAGGCTGCGATTGCATGCAGGGGTTCCAGCTTTGCCACTCCCTTGGTGGAGGCGCCCAAGACATCGGGACTTGATTAAGGGGTTTCAGCAATGATTATTCCTCGTGCTCGCGAACTGTCGCGGGCCAGGGAGTTCAGCAACTAGATAGCTCCGCATTCGCTTCCGGATGTCTAACGCGAAAAGGTAGGTATAGCCAAACTTCAGTCTGAAGCAGAGAGCTCGACGCCCCAATCTTTCGATGACGAGAGAGACGATCCTATCGACAGGGGTCACAAATGTTCGGTGGCGTCAGTGGTGGTGTCTATACTCCATAGTTGCCACAAGAGACTTTTTTCTTATTCAGTCTCCTGACCCACCCCCCCCGAATCTCAATCTTGAACCTCTTGCCCTCAGCACCCATTTTGTAGCAGACGGACTGAGATGAAAGTTACACATGTCTTAAGCAAGTTTATAGCTTTGCCTCTCTTGGTTGCGGAGCTACGATACAGGCTCCTTGTGAGTGTGCGGGGCTTGGCGATAGCTTGCTGGACGAAAACCAAGCTCCCATCCTCTAACAGGAACAGGTATTAAGGCGAAGGTGAACAACCGCTCTGATGTTGCTGGTGAACGTAGCCCTCCCTTCGGTAAGGCCGATCCCCTCAAGACTTGTCCGTGAATCCTGGTATGGGAGTTCCCGAGAAAAAATGGCTACCTTATTCTGGGGTCCTTATAATAAGGATCCTACTATTTAGGGTACTATATCAGGGTCCCCGATTTTCGGAAACTCCCAACCCTAAACCCGAAACCCTTTATAGAACCCTTATAGATCCCTTAAAGGAAACTCTAAACCCTAAACCGGTGTAAGGCACTGGAGCCGGCATGGGCACCCTCTTGGTGTCCAAGGTGCGCGAGGCCAGCGGAACTTTTTGGGGGTTCATAGGGTTTAGGGTTGAGGGTTTAGGGTTTAGGGTTAAAAATGTAATCCCAAAAAGGAACTACAACGGGGCCTCTGGGTAAGGTCTGAGTGTCTACAAGATACTTGGAGGATCATGGGACTTAGTAAGTAGGGCTATAAGTACCTTTAACTAGGGTTATCAGTAGATATAGCTATAGTTGGTTTACTTATAACCCCACTTACTAAGTCCCCTGATCCTCCAAGTAGTGTGTCTAAAGTTTGGAGTCTGCATGTAAAGTCTCCTGTTTGTAGTCGTGAGGATAAACGGGGGCCGATCATGTCCAAGATGCTGTTTATGTTGATGTGGCGTCCATGTTGTTTTCTATTGCGAAGACTGCTTAAGAAGGTCATGAAGGCCATGACGTTGATGATGTGTGTTTGGACATACTGCCCCTTGAGAATAACGGGGATGAAAGTTCTAATTCGGCCGTGGAAGGAACCCTCACAGCGTGCCAACCGCAAAGTACAGCATCCCGAGATGTTTTCGTTTAAGCAATAAAATCTGTACATAGGTGCGTTTGTTGCGTTGTTTTTCACATCGGTGGAATGTTGTAGCTGCGGGTGTTGTCAGTACTACGACCGTGGTTTTGCTACCTGGGTCTCTGATGGATGTGCCTCGCATCCGTTTTTGAAGGTTTGCAGCCCTTTGCACCGTCTAATAGGCGAATACTGCAACAGCTACTTTGAAGCCGTGGCTGCTGTCAAACTTTTTTCTTTGTGTCGCATGCTCTCCATCCCTCCGTCCTGGTCTTGATTCTTCTTCGCTTGTCCCGTGCTCACAGAATTTCTTCAGCAGTGGCGTCAATGCAAGTCTTACGCGCCAGGAATACCCGGACCGCATCATGGAGACGTTCTCTGTGATTCCTTCACCAAAAGTTTCCGATACGGTCGTGGAGCCATACAATGCCGCGTGGGCTTCATTTCGCCGTGTATATATGTAACTTTCTCCGGGAACTGGGCCCTTTCTTCTTGTAAAGTTGGTGCTGAGGTTCGACATGCCGCATGCCAACCCACTTGGGTGTATGAACCCAGCGGTTCTATGTTCTGTACTACATGCTTTGGCCTCAATGGGGTTGCTCTATGTATGTATGTATATATACCCTAGGGTTCAAGCATGTATTCCCACTGTCCTACGCCAGATAAGTGTTTGAACCCTGCAAAATTTAGGAAATCTAGGGTATCTCCAGACACATGCTTTGGACACGTTATTTCCGAGGTCTTGCCGCAGATTGTTGTTTGACGCTTCTCCCAAAGCCGACAGCCGCAACCTTTAGTGTTTGGGGTTGATGGCCCAACTTTAAACCCTTAAACCTGAAACCTAAACCCTAAACCTTGCATGAGTCCTCGGATCTATAAGCCCTAGTGTTTGAGGTTTATGGCTCAACTTGAAACCCTTTAACCTTAAACCTAAACCCTAAACATTGCATGAGTCCTCAGACCTATAAGCCCCACCTTATTTAAGGACTTTTATAAAGAAATCATATTAGGGAACCCTAAAAAGGCAGCTTCCTTAGGGTCCAGGTAACGAATTAGGGTCCTTAAGGTAATGCAGGATGTATCTCATCAACAGTAAGTCTAATTATGTTTGAGGGTAGTGGGGGTCTAGGAGGGCTGCCCAAGGCCGTTCTGAGCTTCCACCAGCTCGTGGAGAACTCCGACGAGTCCTTCCTCTTGGATAACGAGGATTGCTGAATAAAGCGTGCGTTCCAGCTTGCCTCGTTTAGGGTTTAGGTAAAGTTCTGGACGGCAAGCCCTAAAGCTAAAGAAGAAGCCCCGATCGTGAACAGAAGCGGACCAAGAGACAGTGCAAAAATTGGCATAAAGTGATATGTGCCTTCGTCCAACCACCTAGCCCATATAATGCTTGAAGCAATGAGCTCGATTCCTGCTTCCTCGTAGTCAGGATGCAATAGTGTTTGATTCTGTGTTTGGCGACTGCCTTCTTTGGAAGTCGCTGGGGGTGAGTGTTCTTCTGTTCTTCCCGAGGAAGCAAGGGTTTTTGTTCTGCCCATCTTGCCAGGCACTTTATGACATCTGCTTCCGCACTTTGAAGCTTACGACACCTACCTACGGTGACTTGAACCACCTGGTGTCTGCAGCCATGAGTGGCGTCACGTGCTGTTTGCGCTTCCCGGGGCAGCTGAACTGCGACCTGCGCAAGATCGCCGTGAACCTGGTGCCCTTCCCGCGGCTGCACTTCTTCATGACGGGCTTCGCCCCTCTGACCTCCCGGGGCTCGCAGCAGTACCGGGCTCTGACAGTTCCGGAGCTGACACAGCCGCTGAGCTGACGGAGAGGTCGTGAGGATTGAGAACTTCTCCTAAGCGCCCCAGAACACAACCTGATTTTCGTGAAACTCTTGGCACATTCCGTGTCATAAACACGTGCTCGACGATGGCCCCCTTGTGCTATCTTCTAACCCAAGATGTTTCGTGCTGCCTAGGGCGAAGACGCGACTTCTTGCCTTTGATTGGGTTGCTATTTTCGCATGCGGCTTAGGCAGATGTTTGATGCGAAGAACATGATGTGTGCGGCCGATCCACGTCATGGTCGCTACTTGACGGCGGCAGCACTGTTCCGTGGCCGAATGTCCACGAAAGAGGTGGATGAGCAAATGCTCAACGTCCAGCACCGTGGCAGTTGAGCTTGTAGACCTCAGCTTTCTGTGTGAAAACGGTAAACCCTAAATCTTAGGCGGCTCAGATGTTGTTCTTGGAAAAGAAGAGCTCGCACAATAGTCAATCCTTGCATAGTATATATGACATAAATGAATTTATACATATATATATATATATATATATATATATATATATTATATATATATATATATATATATATATATGGGTGGTTGTCAATATGAGGGTCCCTTTTTGGGTCCTTATTATAATACGGCACCTAATGTTTAGGATACCCAAAAAGGGACCCTAATTTTGACAACCATCCATATATGTATATGTATATACACATATATATATGCACAAATTTGTTCAGGGCCCATGAAGTCGGGTACCAACCCAGGAACAAGAACTCATCGTACTTCGTCGAGTGGATCCCGAACAACATCAAGGCATCCGTCTGTGACACTTGGATGCGAGATCTGGGCACCACTCCAGAATTTACCAATAGGGTTTGGGGCTTAGGGTTTACGGTTCAAGGCTTAGGGTTTATTTAGGCTTCAGGTTTTGAGCACAGCCATAAGCGCTGGCGTCTGAAGCTTGGCTGAAGCCATTCAGGGCTTAGTGCATTGCAGTCCCTGCTCAAAAAAGGCTTTAAGGCTTTAAGCTTTGGGCTCCCAGGGTGGGAGAAGCAGGTCCCAAATACAGGTCCTGATGTGAGGGATCCTCAATCCTACCTACCTGCATCCTACTTTTTGAGGCCTCGAAGAGAGTTTCCATATGTTTCCATTCTGAAAACCAGAGATGTTTTGCTTTATGTACACTGTACCCTTACATACTACATGTTGTTTAGACAAGAGATAATGTGACAATTTCACATCATATACATTAAAACACTATATTATACATCAAGCATGCATTGAAACAAAAAGTTTCATACAGTTTGTATTATCAAGTATACCTTGTTTCGCCAAGGACATCCCGCCGAAAGGGTTGAAGATGGCAGTGGCCTTTGCAGGCAACTCCACGGCCATCCAGGAGACTTGTATAGTTCTCCAACACTGACGGTTTAGGGGTTTAAGTTTTTTGGTTCTTTTTGTTTGATCAGTAGTGCTCTGAAAGTTTAACCTTCTAGTTCCGTGGCTTCTTCGGGAAGTAAGGAGATGTTCAAGAGGGTTGCAGAGTACTTCACCGCGATGTTCCGGCGCAAGGCCTTCCTGCATTGGTACACAGGTGGGTGGTTGTCAAAATTATTGTCCGTTTTTGGTTCCTATTATAATACGGCACCTATTATTTAGGGTACCCGAAAAGGGACCTTAATTTTGACAGCTACCCAGGTGAGGGCATGGATGAGATGGAGTTCACCGAGGCCGAGTCTAACATGAATGACCTCGTCTCTGAGTATCAGCAGTACCAGGATGCGACTGCTGAGGAAGAAGGGGAGTTCGACGAGGAGGAGGGAGAGTATGACGGATGAGCTCTAGGCTCCGTTCAGTAGTCGCTCGAGAACTTGGAACACACCCTTCCCAATCCCGGTGATCCGATTCTCTGGCTTCTACGCTACTATGGGGGCCTTGATAGTTACCTATACTATTTTGGGTGTTCTTTATTATAAGTAGGGTCTACTATACCCGCAAACCTTCTTCGAATTATCAAGGCCCTTGTATCTAATTCAGCCTGGCTGGACGTCTCAGTTTTGCAGGCACCGCAGGCAGGAGGCTTGTGGAAGCAGCACCTGGAGCGATGGGGCCGAGGCGAATTTTAACCTTTGCCTGGAAGCCCAATTACCTGTCCTATGAGTTTCTGACTACGGTTGCTTAGGGAAGGAAGCCTGCAGTGGTAATGGGGCTTCTAGGGCACTTGATGTTTCAAGAACATCTTGAAAGTGGACTGGTGCAGCACGATGCCAAGGGACGGAGGCAAACAAGTTTCCGCCAGTGGAATGCTACCACGGAAGCAACGCCATATCGCGTACGTAGTCCAAGAACCTTGCATTTCGGAGCTCGTGCATGGCCCTAAACCCTAAACCCCATTGGTTGAGGAATACAGACTCTTCAGGAATGCCCACTCACAGATGCTTCAAACCACATCAACTATCGATCTCCCCACGGTTTAAGTTTTACTTGGCTTATTTGAGTCCTATGTGGCTCTGTGGAAATCGGACAACTGCAAACCAAAGAGCTGGCGTGCGGTGTCTGCCGGAAGGATGGGTCAGAGCCAATCGTAGCCAGCAAGGACGCAGCCACCTCGCACTGCAGCCTCCTTGCATTCTAAGATAGACGACAAAGAGCGACACAGAGAAGGAGACAGAGAGAGAGAGGGAGAGAGAGCCCGATAGCATTAGTATTAGTAGAATCTACTAAGTAGATTGCTTGCTGTTTGCTATTGAATTTGCATTTGTCTTCCATGTTGTCATACCGTCCTTTGTGCCCAATACCCCTTAGTTAAGGAATATACCTTAAAATCATAATATGAAGCCCCGTACAATTTAGGTATATATTCCTTAATTAAGGGGTACTGGGATCTCTGGGGTCCTTGGTGCCCTCTTTCCGCCCACCTCTCCAAAGGTTGCAGCTAGCGTCCACGGATCGGAGCCGCTTCCCCAAGCACATGATGCACCTACTGGTGCTCCATCCCAGATTTGGGGTTCAAGGGTTCCAGCACCCTAAAGGTCCACCCAGAGAGCCCAAGACCCCCTCAGTTAAGGAATATGGCTTAAATCATACAGAGCTTCATATTATGGTTGAAGCTGTGTTCCACAAAAAAGGGGTATTGGGCTCTCTCGGCATATACCAATCTTGTATACACTCAGGCCTTACAGTAGTCCCTTAAAAGGTACTTTGGGGTCAGAGATCTACTACATAAGTAGATGGACCCGCAGGGCAAGGGCTACTAAGTTTGGGCTTCATGGTTGTAGCATGCAGCGGGTTAGGGTGTCGTTTAGTGCAGTGACCTGCTTTAGAATCCCCTAGCTCATAGTTAGTAGGGCTTTTGATCAATTGCCGGCTAATCGTAGATTGGGTTTGGTGATGTTTGGCAAGTAGGGCTTTTGATCAGCTACCGGCGAATCGTAGATTGGGTTTGGTGATGTTTGGCAGTTTTGAAGTTCTTGGATACAGGACCTTGTCGTTTCGACCAGGTTAACAAAGGAAACACATGTGTAGAATATGATTTACCGGTGGCAAACATATTCCCAACCATAATCAGAACAGGATTCCAAAGTGGCAGAAACAGCTACCCCATGACAAAGGCAAAAGCACAGATGCTACTACTACTGATGCTACTGCGACTGCTTCTGCTACTACTACTACTACTACTACTTCTGCTCTAACTACCCCACCGCCACTGCCTCTGCTACTGCCTGCTACCAACTGCTGCTGCTGGTACTGCACCTGCACTGCTTCATGCTGCTACTTGTATTAGTATTCTCACATCGCTATGTCAATGCAGGGCCTGTTCGGTTAGCCTTATCGGGCACTCACCTGAGTCATTCTACCCGTTGAGGACTAAACAGCCAAGACTTTGCGTGAAAGCCTTCTTCTTGGTTCCTCTCGTGCCCACATATTTCGACTTCGTAGGACAACACGGCACAGCTCGGGCAGGTGGTTAAACCGCAAAAAAGCCTTGAGCTTGCGTGCAGCATGACAAGGGCATTCGGACATAAGGCCTCAAGCCCACACACCGAAGCCAAACGGCTTTGGTGTTAAGAGGTGGGCTGTAGGGCTTTGCTTCAGGATCTGGGATTTGGGTTCTGAAGCTTTTCTTGCGAATGCGTGGCCTATCAAGAGCAGCAAGAACGTGACCGAACATGGATTAAAATACCCTTTTCACTAAACCAACAGCTGCAAAGCGTCCCGAAAGCCGAAACCAACGGCGGCACGGCGCCAGGCACCCTGCCTGAATAAGCAGAACCAACCCGGCTTTTTCTCTGACGTCAGCCGGGGCCTGCAGAGACCGGGAAACGCTGTAGATTTCAGAGTTGTCAGCAAGGTTTAGGTAGCTAGGAGCTCCAGTATTATAATTGCCATGAGATAACTATTAGTTATTAGTACTATTGCTGTTCTCACGATTAGTACTAATATTACGCACTTCGGACATGTTGCCCGGGCTTCAATATGCCTGCTACTGCTATAGTTTACCGGCCAGAATGGTAGGGTCAACTTTGAAGACGGGATGGATGCATGTTAATCAAAGGCTTGTTGCACAGGTCTCAGTTGAAGCGGAGTCAGGCAGCCACTTCGTAGCTGAGTAGGCAACCTTTAACCTTTTGGGGTTTATATCAGGGCTTCCTTTAAGGAATCTACAAGGGTACTACCAGAATCTAGGAGTAACCTTTAACCTTTTGGGGTTTATATCAGGGGTTCCTTTAAGGAATCTACAAGGGTACTACCAGAATTTAGGAGTAACCTTTAACCTTTTGGGGTTTATATAAAGGGTTCCGTTAAGGGATCTACAAAGGTACTACAATAGGATTCAGGGATAACCTTCAACTTTTTGGGGTTGATATAACACTACCATAATTTCAAAAGGTTAACTTTGTTTGGGCCTAGGGAACTCAGCCCGTAAGGGCATGTTTTCGGCTTGTTCGAAGCCTTTGAGCGCCTAGACCATAGGTCAAAGCTGGCACAATACTTGGAGGGTCATGGCACTCAGTAAGTGGGTTTTAAGTGCTTAAGTACCTGAAATAATTAGTGGGTTCTCATAACCCTACTTACAAAGTCCCCTGATCGTGTAAGTAGAGGCATCATCGCCGGATGTTCGGCTGCAGGGTGTCAGATCTGTCAATACAGGCCACGTATTGCTCACGTTTGTAATCAGACAGGTCTCGTCTTCCTAGGCCCTCCATCTACCCTCTTTTCGACCCTACATACCCACTATAACATCCATCAGCCTCGTTTAGCACCTAATACCTACTATTAGTGCCATTAGGTTTTCAGCTCGGAGCTCTGGGTACTTGCAAAGCAAACGGGCTTAGGGTCTGGGGGGAGCGACCCCTTTTTTTTGTGAAGTCCTGATCTGTCATTGCTGCAGCCTAAACCCTAAATCCTAAACCCTCTAAGCGCTAAACCCTAAACCTCCTAAACCCCAAACCTTGTTTGGAACCTCGCCCGGTGAGTTTGACTGTAAGAGCCGCTTGCTATAGGGGCCTAAATATTTACCTATACCATTTTGGTGGTTCCTTTTTATATTTAGTATACTATGCCCCAAAACCCTATCCCAGTTATTGAGGCCCCTATATTAGAGTGTTCGGTTTATAGTTTACGGGCTCACAGGCCCTAAGACTAGACCTTTAAGAGTAAGGTTGGAGCATGGTCACTTGTCGCACATGAAAGGCCAAGAGATGAACAAGCGATGCTCTTTAGAGGCCCTAGACTCTGTTCCAAGGCTGTTTCAGTGCTCTGATCGCGCACAGCACTTGAAAGCGATAGAATCAGAAGGTGCCATTGTTTGGGATTAACCTCAGCAAACCATGTAGAACTTCTACAGCTCTCGGATAGGCCCCCCCCATGTCAGCTGAAGCCTCTAGAGCGCACAAAAATTCCCTTCACAAGATAGCTCAACGCCGAGGTTTCGTGGCAAGCCTCAATACAGAGGCAGCCGAAGAGGTTCGCGCATTACCCTAAGCCCTAAGGGCTAAGGTTTTCGGGCCTGTTTTAAGGATTCTACCAGAGTTCTGAGTGGAGAGTCTCAAGGTTTGTATAAGGTTTTATAGGGGTTTTAGAAGTAGGGTTCTGTAGGAGTCCTATAAGATTCAGTTGTTTCGAGTTTCAGGCATGTGGGGTCCTGGGGTTTTAAGGTCTGATCGGGGTTAGAGCTCCAGGTTTGGGGCAATAGGGCTTAGGCTTTCAGGATTTGTCGGGTTCTGCACGTTTACAGCTTATAGGCTTCACGGTTCTGAATTGACAGCTACTGGGTTCCGGATTTAGGGCTTTGGTATACTGGGCTTGAGACCGATTTCAATTATTGTGGCAGTGGTTTGTGGGGTCCAGTCCGACCCTAAACCGCAGGCCATTGGTCCCAAGCTATATGGAATTGAAGCCCACTTCCCAACAACCCATCAGAAGTAATCAAGCCGTATGGTACCTTTAATGAACTCTAACACAGCCCTCTGAGGGAAACCTCATAAGGATCCTCACCCTGAACCCAGAGCCCTAAACCTTGTCGGACCCTTACTGTAGAGGCGTCAATAAGTAGAGTAGGCTTTGCCGGGTATAGTATACTAAAATCGTAACTCCCAAAAATCCTATTCTAATTATTAAGGCCCCTATATCATAGTACCCTTATGGATCCCTGATAGGCCCCTTTAAAGGAACCCTATTCTAATTCTTGAGGCCTCCATATTACCGAATCTTTCAAGCAGAAACAACGGCGCAGGTGGTCCACGAGCTAGTACGCCGGGCTCTGAAGCAGCCGGCCTTGTGGCTCAGAAACGCCAGGTTTTGGGGCTTAGGGGTTAGGATTTACGGTAAAGGTGCT